TCAAAAAGTTTAATGTTTGACAACGTGGCCGTTTTCGGAAAGTGACCTCTCTTTGAAAATCTACTGCTCGGACACAAGACATGATAATCACATTTTGATTAATTCAGAACTTGCTCAAAGGTTTGATTGAGGAATAGATAGGAGTTTTATTACACTGACACTTATAACTGATTTTAGCCAATAGTTTTAATATCATAAGTCTCTGCAGAGGCCAGCGTTGTGAACTAATGGTTAATAATCATAATTTAATTATTAATATTTTTTATTATTATATCATATATTAATATAACAAATATTTTAACCATGTTACTAATAAACAGGTGTGACCAGCCAATTGCCGGGCACATCACGGATGAAGGACGTTTATTTCGGTACATTAATTGGAAAATTGGCCAAATATTCCCACGAAGTTAACGGAGAGGTGTACGCGGTAGACGAGAGTACCTTGTTTATCAAAAACTTCAACTACGATGGCCAGGGGCCGCAGACATTTTTCTGGGCCGGAAATAGTCAGACGCCCGATGACAGCGGTTTCATAATACCCGATGAAAAGGGATCGTAAGTGAAGTTTTGTTAATATTTCTAAACTATCGCTAATAGCCTTACAGTTTTAATATTCTGTACTTAAGTAATAAGAATATTAATAATTTATTTATTATAATTTAAAAATTAACTGCTGTAAAGTCATCAGCAAATATAAACCATATTTAATTTTAATAAATTCGACAATATGTACATTTAAAAAATCATTGTCTTACTTTACAGTTTATGCAGATGAATATTAAGTTATATATTTTAAATTAATACATTGAAGTCATAATTTGATGTTAGTTTAGTTTTATTAATATAATAAATACTGCTACAGTATTACCATAGATAAATAATCAAATTAATCACGTTTAAATTATTGTAGCACAAAATCGCTAAACGCCTATCAAAATCAAAACATCGTATTACGATTGCCTGAGGGTAAAACATTGCGCGACATTAACTGGCTATCTGTCTGGTGCCGGGAGTTTAAGGTCAACTTCGGCGACATAGCGATCGACAAAAATTTAGACATACCGTCGCCGGTGGAGATACCAGCCCTCAGCCGACTCGCCCACGACGTCCGCAGCGGTCCCATCACTATAGTAGACGCCCAGACATTTCTAGTGCCCAATTTCTATTACGATGGTCAGGGCCCCGCTGGTTACTGGTGGGCCACCAAGGGCCCACGACAGGCACCAACTGGTTAGTATCATATTTCATTATAAATTAGTTATAATATTAGCTAGTTTGAATTTTAGATGAAATTGTATAATGTAATAACTATGAGATGTTAGAACAAAAATTAAATTTAAATAGATTTTATTAATTTCTAAAGTGCTTTATTTATAAATAATTTGTAGTTTTACTGTGAAATCATAAATTAGTCAACTTTTGTAATTAAAATAACCATAAACTACTTAAGATTAAAAAAAATTACCGCTACTAAATACCTATGATAAATATCCATTAATTAAATAGTATATTACCCTATTAATATACACTGAATATACTGTACATACTGCTTCAAAAATTATTTTCCACAATAACCTGTAAATTATAAATTTAAACATTTTTATGTGTTTACAAGTTATCAATATATTTTTTACATGGTCTGTCAATGCGGGTCCGATTTAATTGTTTTTTAAAACAACATTTATTTTACTGGATGTAAAACTATTATAATTATATTATGTTAATTATATTTATACAAAACAGTGCGACCAATCTACCTTAATAACACTATTAAAACATAAATTCATTAACATAAAACCAATGTACGTGATCATTTTAAAACTAATACATTTGTGACACAACCGTAGGCTTACGGCTGAAGGACGAAAACGGATCGCCGGCGCCGTTGCGGCGATACTCCGGCGAAACGGTAGTCATATCACTGCCGGACGACAAAACCATCTATGACTACGACTGGCTGGGCGTCTGGTGTGAGGAGTTCAACGTGGACTTCGGGCACATCCGTATACCACAGCACATCCGAGTGCCGCCATCGCCCAAAATGTTGGGCATTAAACCCGAGGTGAGTCACACCAACCGACGCACAGACAAGGAGAAGGCTATCATAGGTCTGGCGCCCCCACCGGTGCCGCAAATCTCTACTGAGGCACCGGAAGTGGACAGTAGACGAGTGGTGAGGCCTACTAGACGTATACCGTCGGCCCCGAAACGGGCCGCGATGTCCGGTAGGAGTAGTTATTGCTTTTGGCGCAGATATTACACGACTATTCCCTGTAAAAATGGCGGCCCATAGATGTGATGCTAGTTTTTATATTGGTGGAATTATTGTTTTAAATTAGTATTAATTTGTTGCGATTGGCAAAATGGACATTGATGATTGTCTTATTAATTTGTTAATTTTTAACGTTATTATTTAATTTTATTGTTGATTTGTTTCTATATAGATATTTTCTATTAACAACTCTTATTATTGTCATTAATATTTTTATTAATTATATTATTTATAACTATTGTAATAGAAAATACTTAATAAATAGTTTTATTTTATGCACATTTTTGGTGATGGATTGCATTGATGTAAAAATTTCTACTATTATGAATGCACTATAAATATATATTTTAATTAAAAGTAATATCTATTTACACCACACACACAACAATTGGACTGTATTAACACATTAATTAAAACGATAAGTGAATTAACAATTTATATTATAACCCAATTTAATTAAATCATTTTTCCCTTACAACCAATTACATTATATATAAAAATTAATATACAGTATATTAACATTGTTCACTAAAATCAATCACATTTTACAGACTAAACTTAATTGCGAAGTATTATACGACGAGTTGGGTTACGAAATACGTTGGGTTATGGATGGCGACGATATTGTTATGCAATTGGTTGGCAAAGTTGGTCAGTATATTAGATTTTAAAATAATATTTTTTGATCATGGTTATTATTGCAAATAATAAATGTCATACCTATCCATCTCTGCAATATTCAGAGCCCAACGAATACATGTCATTTGGTTTAAGTAAAGACGATTCAAAGTCCGAGATGATAGGGTCGGATGCGGTGGTGGCATATGTCGCACAGGGAGGCAATGGCAAAGCGGTCGACTATTTTCTGGCCAGTAAAGAACAGGTTTGATATTAAAAACAACTATTTATAATTAATACTTATAATATGATTAGAAATAATTAACCTTACTTAATTGTAAATTGACATAAGTTAAAGCGAGTTACAAGAAATTTATTAATCAGTTAGCGGGTTAGCAATTATTAAGTGAGCATATTATTAAACAAACTGTTATAGAGTTTTGTGTTTTACAAACAAACATAAATGAATATTTATATAAATTTTCATGGGTGCGACGGTAAGTTTTGTTTTACTAGTTGTATCAACTTTAAAAATATGTTTACCTGCACACTATAACTTATGGTTATTAATGTTTATATTTTTTGTTCATTTAATCATGATTATTATTTTGCAGTGTGTGGGTAATCGGGGCAGTTGTCCGGACATTAAGCAAAAGGGGGCCACCGATAGCGTAACACTATTGCACGCGGCTGTGGTGAACGGATTCAGCATGGTCACTTTTAAACGGCCACAACTGGGCCGTAAGTATTCCATCATCATACAACTAGCTAAAAATCATAATAAATTTTATTTATTATTTTAAAAAAATTAGTGGACGAACAGTACGATCAGCACATATACAGCGACGGCCCGCAGGCTGTCATGTGGGCTATTGGGCCGCTGAACGAGCGCCAGGAGACCAGCTATCATAGGCTGCACAACACGGGCGATATGTTTATAGACTTTGCCCGTACGCCAAAGTGGAACTGTCCCCTTCCCGACGAGACCATTAAGTCTATGAGACCCCCGGGAGCTGCGCCAGCCCCCGGACCCGATAGCCAACAGGGCAGCAAACCCTCGGCCAGGCCTCAGCTCCGACCCCAAGCCGCCGGACCTGCCGAGAGTCAGCCCCAACCACAACCCCGTCCCCAGTATCAGCCCAGACCCGCTCCCCCACCGCCCCCTCCCCAGCCTCAACCTCAACAGGTTCAGGCCGGTCCCCGACCTAACCCTAATGCCTGGCGAGTGCCTCCCATTGTATGTCCGGCCGATACCACACTGAGGGCACAAATTGGCCCCACCGGCGGTACCAAAGGTTACCAGTCCATTACCGGCAAAGTTGGCTGGGGTTTAGCATGGTACATTAACGGATTGTTGATACCGGAACTGACTTTGCAACGAGGTTAGTTAACTTTATTGTTAGCTAAACTATTTATTTATTAACTTGTGTAAAATTAAAAAGCTAACGTAAAAATAAAATAAGAATCATTCTAACGATAAGTGTAAGGATAAAATAAACAAAATTAATCAAACAAACTGTAATAAAATGTTTTATAGTTGAAATAATCATACTACTATATTTATTATGTTTATTAATGGCAGACATGATAAAAAAACATTTTAATTAAAATTATTGACTTAAAATTTAGATAGTTTTTTTTAGATATTAACATTAATTAATTTATTAGCTTTCTTATCTTGGTTAAATTATGAAACAATTAAATACAACTAAATCTATCACTCTCTATATGACAGGCAAAACATACACATTCATCGTGGAGGGCGGCAATGAGCGAAACAACAGCGCCCGTCGGCACCCGCTATACCTGTCCGACGATCCGAACGGCGGTTTTGACCACAAGACGGACGCCGAGCGCCAAAACGAGCAAATCTTCGGCGGCGTCGGTATAACACCGGACGGCACTATTCTGCCCACCAGTGAGGGGCGACTCTGCGAGTGGAAAGTCAACCTCCGGGACCCGCGCCGGCCCGACGACTACCCAAACTTTTTTGACTTTCAACGCTCACTATCGCTGGACTGCGCTCAGGGCAATTCGGGCGTACTCCGATTCACCCCGGACAATCAAACGCCCGATCTGATCTACTATCACTGTTACACGCATCGCAATCTGGGTTGGAAAATACACGTGGTCGACAATTGCGATCAGCATCAGCTGTTTGGCCAGTCGTCGGTGCCCAAGGCGTCGGTACTCAAGCCCGACCCTATGCTGCTTAAGGGCGGCCCCGGAGGGCAGGATGTGAACGAAAAGTCCAGCCAGTCTGACGGTACAGTCTATTTTCCCGATATGAAACGCATCAGTCCGACCAATGGTAGCAGACCTACCGGTGCTGGAGAGGGACCGAGACCTCAGGCCCCGCCACCGGTCTATAAACCATCGGTGCGCCCATTGATAGCCCTCCAGAAGCCTAATTATAAACATAATAAACAGCACGTGTCGCCCAAACCTGTTGTACCGCAGATACCGCCGCCCAACGCACAGTACGTGCCCCTTAGTTTGCCCCCCATAGCTGGCCAACCATACCACGGACCCCCGCCCTACTTGTTCTCTTACCCGAGCCCTCAACAAGGATTTGGTAACTTCCCTATAGGTATGAAATTGTATTTATTTAATTTATAATTGTGAATTAATTTTTCTTTTATATATCACCAAGGTCCAATAAAACCATTTGATCAGATATTCCGACCTCCACCCCCACAACAATCGCCAGCCCACGTATCGCCCGTCCAATACATGCCCATCCCGTTGGACAGCGTACAGCAGCCCCAACATCATACGGGCGGAGGGGGCGGTACAGATGCTCAGTCATCGCCCATAGACAATCTGCACGCCGGTTTCGTACCCATGCTCATCAAAACGGCCAATCAATCCATTGTGAAACACTTTGAGCACAAGTCTCAACACAACACCCCATCCAGACAGGGCGTATTGGCCCCTGGTGCAATTAGCAACACCGGGTCCGACAACTCGGGCACCTCTA